ACGGAATTGCTGAACATAAATAAGCAAACAGGGTTGAGGTGTAATGGACTACAGGCGTTCAGAATACATATTCATAATAAAGAAATTAAGTATCTGTCTTCAATCCATACTACATTTTGAAAAGGCGGTATTCATAATACAGTTACTTTTTAAAATTTGAAGAGAATACTTTTAGAATACTTACCCACTGCATTAAAAAGTACAATCTTTAAAAGAAAGACCACCAGTCCTGTAGGATGGATTGTTGCAAATAGATGGATTAGATGGATTCAAAGAGGAATTCAACAAACAACTTCTCTTGCTAAAGCCTGAGTAGCTTCATAAATCAGTTCTTTTGAGGGATGATCAAACTGATAATCTCCTCAGCAGTGGATATGTTCACAAGTATGTTCACTAAGTTTAGAATTGCTGTTGTGCTACGATTATGATATGATAAACAAATTTTTCATTAAACAGATTAACCAGTAAAAGAGAGGAACAGTGTAAACTAGAAAGGGAAAGTGTGAATGAACTTTAAGTTGGCTTGACAGAGCCAGCTAATAATGCAAACGTTAAAGCACTGTTGGTGCTAGCACACTTCTATGATGGCAACATAAAAGAAGTCTGGCTGGCTGTAGTGGAATAAGAGATAGAGATATAGCCATTATATATTATATAGGTGGAATGACTCAGTTTCAGGATGTTGAGTATTCCCCCATTCATTCCTACTGAAATCAATTGTGTCTGAACCAAGGCTGTCAGAGCATAGTAAGTTAAATCGAACAAGCAACCCATTCGGGTATAGGCTACACAATTGTGCAGAGATGGTTCTACCTTGAAAGCTGTAAGAGTAGCACTGCAAAGTTTTGACCACAGAATTATAATATGAAAAAGAAAACGAAGAACAGCGAGTTGGCTTTTTCAAGTCAACTTAATTATCATTCGGGTGAGTCATTCTCAAAAATATGCGATCAAAAATTCAGGATTATGCACTGTTTTGCAAGTAATTTTGAAAGTAACTGCCATAAACAACTGGCTACAAGTATCTCAGAAAACTGTGAAGTCATTATTTATGGTAGTTAAATGTAGTTGGGGACTGAACCTTATTTAGTCTCTTTTTGTCTTTTGTTTGTTTCATATACAACTAAAGTTCAAGGATAACGACAATGTAATATGTTAAATTAAAAATATGTGCAGGCGAGGATTTCAACATTTAATATATTTTTTTTACTTGATTTAAAAAAAAACAACTAAGCAAGTTGACCTTTTTTACCTTGCTAGTTCATGTCATTAGTCATAATAAGCATGGTTCATCATTACATACCATTTAAAAGGTTTTTATATAATCTTTGATCAAAGTGTAGCGACTTATGCTTGCCTTGAAAACATCTCATGATTTTGAATACACCACCATTCAGCAGCAGGCAGAAAAATAATATTGATCAAAAATATACTATCTCTCCCACCACCCACACACAGCATTAAGAGAAAATTCTCAGCTAGCTTAAAGACCCTCCTTGAAACCTTGTTTCACTCAGAAATACACCACAGCATGGAAAGAAAATTCATTGTTTTTCATTATTATATTTATATATATAAATATAATAATGAAAAACAATGAATTTTCTTTCATTGTTATATTCATTATTATATTTCTGACTTTAATACCATGATGACATTTTTGGACTAGATTGTCACACCATGAAAGTGGTACAACATCCCTACAACAGTAACATCTCTGGTTCTGGTAAGCTGGCATGTAGCATTACGTTCTAATACAAGTGCTATCAAGTCATATGTTGACCTTTGAACTTCCAGATTGGCTGTTAAACAAAAAAGACCTGTGAAATGCTGCTATGCAACCAATGAATTACTTTAGATTATGTGTTTATTTAGATTTAGTAATAAATAAATACAGTTACACTTAAAAAAAAAGATCAAGACTTCTTTAAGTCAACTATTTTCTTGGCATTAAAAGTACTCCCTTTTTGGGCATCTAGAGCAGTCACTTTCACTCATGGACACAAACACTGCGTAGCGTATGTGGCGTAAGCACTCTCAAAATGATTTGCCTCCCGGGCCGTTTTTTGAAGCTCTGGCTGCACCGTCTTATCATGTATAATTCCCTCCAAATCAGTTTCACCCTGACCTCCCTCCCCTCCTGAACAAACAGAAAAAGGTCAAATCTCTGAGAAGTGACTTTCATGCATGTCTCATGCTGGGTCGTCACTTTCAATATCCAAAAACCTTTTCTGTCACAGAGCCATCAGCACTTTATACACGCTCAGGCACAGCATAGCACTCCAGCAACTTTTTTTGCCATCTTCAAATTCACAGAAGGTTCGCTCTGGGTGGGTTAAATTAATCACAGTGAGAAAACTACATGGGACTATGTTTTAACGCATGGAAACAAGTGATTCCTTTCCTTTCCTTTTTTTTTTTTTAATTTGCCCAAAGATCAATGTTTAGAATTGACTCCTTCACAGTAGTCATAAAATGCAATTTACACCTGTTTTGGAGGAAGTTTCTCAGTTGAGCTAAAATTCGATAAAATTGATGAAATAAACTTTGATGGAAATGTGTATGACCTACAAAACTGGAAGTGAAATGAGTTTTCGTCCTTGTAGGTGAGCAAGCAAGTCGACATATATAAAAGTAGGGTTTTTATGTGTTTGAATGCAGTTTTTGTTGTGGCAGTTGTACAGAATTGTTTGCTATAAAGAAAGCTGCAGTTATGCTGTATGTTTTGTCTTTGTGAAGACGTGAATTGTTTTCACAGCAAGGGATTCTTATCCCTCCCCTTTCACCCCTTATAGCTCACTAGCAGCTCAACACACTCACAATGTAGAGCCAACAGTGTCCTAGTTAAAGCTGCCCTATGTCAGATTCTTTGTTAAAATTGAAAGAAGTATCATTACTGAGTCAGAAGGAAAAAATGGTGGCAGGGGCTTACGAAGCACAGTTGATGTTGCACAAAATTTTCTGCATGCAATTACACATTTGCATCAGAGAGGTCTTCAGAAGTGTTTCTTTTGATTTTATTAATTAAAAATATCTGAACTAATTTCCATTCCACTGGTGGAATGGCCACTCTGGGCCTGCAAAAAAAGGCTACCCGGTAAGAAAGACACTGTGTTTCCTATGATATTCTTAAAAATAAAGGTGCAAAAAGGGTTATTTGGGACGATGCCATAGAAGAAACTTTTTTGGTTCCCTAAAGAACCTTTGAATGTGTGGCTGTTTAGAGAGTCCTTTTGGTAATGCAATGTGCAAGTGATCTTTTTTTTTTTTTTGTTTAATTTAAAGACCCTCCGCATAGATACGTTATATATCAATTAAGTTGTTTTTTTCTCTTCCAAGCCAAAAACCATTCAGAAACCTTTATTTTTAAGAATGTATAATCACACATCATCATGCACTTGGAGGCAAAAGGACATCTAACCATATTAAAAACAGTGAACGTAACAATTTGATATTGAAACACCCTATTCTTGAGATTGTTGACTCAACTGTTTGAGTCTAAAGGCCATCAGAGAGAGGGAAAACTTCCCTACTGTGCGTGCAAAACAACAGTGTCATTTCGTTTTGCGGAGCGATGAAAGTGGAGAACTCTGCACTGCAGATTAATGGAGCGTGAAATCCAGCACTGATCTGCAGGGTGTTAACTCGCAGGTGTCTACACAGGGCCCGCGTGGTGTGACTTAAGTATGTCCTATCATAACCGCATGTGACTGGTGACGATTAGTGACCTTTCGCTGGTCTAAAGCCATCCACTTCAATTACAGCAGACCGGGCCAGATCCTGAAGGAAGCAATGCATAAACCAGCAGTGACCATGCCAGACTGTAACTGTAGCTACTGTAAATTACGCTAACTTGTGTGCACATGGCACTTGGCTAGTCTCATCCATACAGAGCTTTTTTTTTTCTTTTCTTTTCTCTGTAGTGTACAGTATTACCACTAGAGGTAGACATTTTACTTTCCTGAAGAGGTTTTACTTGCACTATAATTCTGCAATGTCCACTTTTTCATTGAGTGTGCGGTGGAATATGAAAGATCTTGCAAAGTGTGTGGTGGTATAATGTAGTGAATCAAAAGTAATCTAGGTGACATAGATAGCATAGATAATGTACTTGTTTTTATTTTAAAGTGACTAAAGAAAACAATTAAAGACGTCTGACTATGAAATACTCCAATAATGAGCATATTTCAACGTCAGTTAGAATTGTGCAATGGTTGTGTTTCTCACAGTTTCCTTCACTGACAGTCACCTGATTCTGCGGGATTTCATTTTTCAGATGCAGATCTGAAAAAAACGGACCCCACAGATATTATCAGAGCCCTAATTACTCCTCTAAAATCTAACTAGATTGAGTAACTTTCACATGCAGCAGGGTGCATACAGTTTCTTTTACTAAAACACCTTGACCAATACTTTTGCAGCCTTTTTGCCTGATTTTATCACTATCACATATATTTAAACATGCATAAGGCAACGTTTGGTGCACATTGCAGATAATAATCTTCCCCTTACCCTTCCTCATGTTTTGTTCAGTGGAAGCATGCACCTTTACCTCAACATCCTCAGTCTAAGTGGGTCAAAAATACCAGTTAGCTTGTGGTCTTTGGGCAAGAAATAATCTGATATTCTCATAAAACTAACAAAACTGAAAAGCACGGAGATTGAGATGTCATTGCTTTCAAAGTGTACACTATGCCAGGGCGGTGAGCATAGTCAGATATGACTTTGAAAATAACATCTCTGACATTTACTTTGGGCGTCCCCCTATGACTACATTTTTAAAAGTAATCAGGCCTAAAGATGAGCAAAACCAAACTGGAACTGAACATGATTTGCTGATATTCACTCATGCAAGACACATTCTGAGTAAAAAAGCTTAAGGGCAAGCGGTAAAGTCTTTGCCATGGTTTGTCTTCAGAAAGCAGAGCAGGGGTGGGCTTGTGCCATCATCACTCAACAAAGACTCTCACCAACACATCTTGTACTCATTTCACCAATCTCAAGCACTGAGAGGAACATCTCGTCATGCACTGTCAGATCCTCCTGCCCTACTGAATTAACCGTAAGTAGTTTGAAGCTGTTTTTCTGATCTGAGGTGCTATTTGCTTATTGGGACCATTACAGATAATCACAGTGCCTACAAATGATGAAACTGCTGCTATTTACACTGTATTATTTTCACTGTTCATTCTCAAATTGTGGCACATTTCCTTAAAATTCCAAGCAACCATCTGACAAATATGGTGTTAAACCAGGTCAACCAACTTTTTTTTCTTTGTTTTTTACAGGACAATGGCCACTCAAGCTTTTTTGGTTTCTTCTTCTGCAATTCCAAGCGAAAGCATTCCTCACCAAACCTGCAACGTGTTCACATACAAGGAGGCGGCTCGGGTCCTTTTTCCCACCTTCTACATCATCGTACTTGTCATTAGTGTCTCAGGCAACAGCCTGGTCTTGTACATTACTTGCCAGAAAAAGCAGAAGTTCAACTCCACATCGCTGTACCTGATCAACCTGGCAATCTCTGACACCCTCTTCACTCTTGCTCTGCCTGGTAGGATTACCTATGACATCCTTGGTTTCGACTGGCCCTTTGAAGAAGCCCTCTGCAGGCTGACTGCCATGATCTTCTATTCCAACACATACGCTGGCATCGCTTTCATGACCTGCATCAGCATAGACCGCTACCTGGCCATGGTACACCCACGCAGGTGCCTGAGGCTCAGGAATGTGAAAGTGGTGCGAGGCATCTGTGTCCTGGTCTGGGTAATTGTTCTTCTGAAGACATCTCCTCTGCTCTTCAGAACCATGATGAAGAAGTGGGATGAGCATCGCACATGCATGGAGTACTCCAGTTTGAATGAATCTCCAAAGATGCCATATGTGCTTCTGTTTACCTGTGCCACTGGGTTCTGCGTTCCACTGGGACTCATCCTTGGCTGCTACAGCCAGATCAACTCTAAGCTTTCCAGGATGGCCAAGGAGAATCCCATGACCATTGCCATCAGAGAGAGAGAGAACTTCCCTACTGTGCGTGCAAAACAAGTGTTATTTTGTTTTGCTGAGCGCAGGGCCCGCGTGGTGTGACCTAAGTACATCCTATCATAACCGCATGTGACTGGTGACGTTTAGTGACCTTAAATTACGCTAACTTGTGTGCACATGGCACTTGGCTAGTCTCATCGATACAGAGCTTTTTTTCTTTTCTTTTTTTTGTAGTGTACAGTATTACCACTAGAGGTAGACATTTTACTTTCCTGAAGAGGTTTTACTTGCACTATAATTCTGCAATGTCCACTTTTTCATTGAGTGTGCGGTGGAATATGAAAGATCTTGCAAATTGTGTGGTGGTATAATGTAGTGAGTCAAAGGTAATCTAGGTGACATAGATAGCATAGATAATGTACTTGCTTTTATTTTAAAGTGACTAAAGAAAACAATTAAAGACGTCTGACTATGAAATACTCCAATAATGAGCATATTTCAACGTCAGTTAGAATTGTGCAGTGGTCGGGTTTCTCACAGTTTCCTTCACTGACAGTCACTTGATTCTGCGGGATTTCATTTTTCAGATGCAGATCTGAAAAAAACGGACCCCATTATCAGAGCCCTAATTACTCCTCTAAAATCTAACTAGATTGAGTAACTTTCCTCAGAATTTTCCTTAGCCTTTTTGCCTGATTTTATCAAGGTGATCAGGCCTAAAGATGAGCAAAACCAAACTGGAACTGAACATGATTTGCTGATATTCACTCATGCAAGACACATTCTGAGTAAAAAAGCTTAAGGGCAAGCGGTAAAGTCTTTGCCATGGTTTGTCTTCAGAAAGCAGAGCAGGGGTGGGCTTGTGCCATCATCACTCAAATAAGACTCTCACCAACACATCTTGTACTCATTTCACCAATCTCAAGCACTGAGAGGAACACCTCGTCATGCACTGTCAGATCCTTCTGCCCTACTGAATTAACCATAAGTAGTTTGAAGCCGTTTTTCTGATCTGAGGTGCTATTTGCTTATTGGGACCATTACAGATAATCACAGTGCCTGCAAATTCTGCAAATGATGAAACTGCTGCTATTCACACTGTATTATTTTCATTATTCATTCTCAAATTATGGCACATTTCCTTGAGATTCCGAGCAACCATCTGACAAATATGGTGTTAAACTTTTTTTTTCTTTGTTTTTTCAGGACAATGGCCACTCAAGCTTCTTTGGTTTCTTCTTCTGCAATTCCAAGCGAAAGCATTCCCAACCAAACCTGCAACGTGTTCACATACAAGGAGGCGGTTGGGTCCTTTTTCCCACCTTCTACATCATCGTACTTGTCATTAGTGTCTCAGGCAACAGCCTGGTCTTGTACATTACTTGCCAGAAAAAGCAGAAGTTCAACTCCACATCGCTGTACCTGATCAACCTGGCAATCTCTGACACCCTCTTCACTCTTGCTCTGCCTGGTAGGATTACCTACGACATCCTTGGTTTCGACTGGCCCTTTGAAGAAGCCCTCTGCAGGCTGACTGCCATGATCTTCTATTCCATCACATACGCTGGCATCGCTTTCATGACCTGCATCAGCATAGACCGCTACTTGGCCATGGTACAACCACACAGGTGCCTGAGGCTCAGGAATGTGAAAGTGGTGCGAGGCATCTGTGTCCTGGTCTGGGTAATTGTCCTTCTGGAGACATCTCCTCTGCTCTTCAGGACCATGATGAAGAAGTGGGATGAGCATCGCACATGCATGGAGTACTCCAGTTTGGATGAATCTCCAAAGATGCCATATGTGCTTCTGTTTGCCTGTGCCACTGGGTTCTGCGTTCCACTGGGACTCATCCTTGGCTGCTACAGCCAGATCAACTCTAAGCTTTCCAGGATGGCCAAGGAGAATCCCATGACCATTGCCATCAGAGAGAGGGAGAACTTCCCTACTGTGCGTGCAAAACAACAGTGTCATTTTTTTTTTTTGTGGAGTGATGAAAGTGGAGAGATCTTTAACTCTGCACTGCAGATTAATGGAGCATGAAATCCAGCACTGATCTGCAGGGTGTTAACTCGCAGGTGTCTACACAGGGCCCGCGTGGTGTGACCTAAGTATGTCCTATCATAACTGCATGTGACTGGTGATGATTAGTGACCTTAAATTCCACTAACTTGTGTGCACATGGCACTTGGCTAGTCTCATCCATACAGAGCTTTTTTTCTTTTCTTTTTTTGTAGTGTACAGTATTACCACTAGAGGTAGACATTTTACTTTCCTGAAGAGGTTTTACTTGCACTATAATTCTGCAATGTCCACTTTTTCATTGAGTGTGCGGTGGAATATGAAAGATCTTGCAAAGTGTGTGGTGGTATAATGTAGTGAATCAAAAGTAATCTAGGTGACATAGATAGCATAGATAATGTACGTTTTTATTTTAAAGTGACTAAAGAAAACAATTAAAGACGTCTGACTATGAAATACTTTAATAATGAGCATATTTCAACGTCAGTTAGAATTGTGCAATGGTTGTGTTTCTCACAGTTTCCTTCACTGACAGTCACCTGATTCTGCGGGATTTCATTTTTCAGATGCAGATCTGAAAAAAACAGACCCCATAGATATTATCAGAGCCCTAATTACTCCTCTAAAATCTAACTAGATTGAGTAACTTTCCTCAGAATCACATGCAGCAGGATGCATACAGTTTCTTTTACCTAAAACACATTGACCAATACTTTTGCAGCCTTTTTGCCTGATTTTTTCACTATCACATATATTTAAACATGTATAAGGCAACGTTTGGTGCACATTGCAGATAATAATCTTTTGTGGTAAACACTTCCTCATGTTTTGTTCAGTGGAAGCATGCACCTTTACCTCAACATCCTCAGTCTAAGTGGGTCAAAAATACCAGTTAGCTTGTGGTCTTTGGGCAAGAAATAATCTGATATTCTCATAAAACTAACAAAACTGAAAAGCACGGAGATTGAGATGTCATTGCTCTCAAAGTGTACACTATGCCAGGGCGGTGAGCATAGTCAGATATGACTTTGAAAATAACATCTCTGACATTTACTTTGGGCGTCCCCCTATGACTACATTTTTAAAGGTAACCAGGCCTGAGCAAAACCAAACTGGAACTGAACATGATTTGCTGATATTCACTCATGTAAGACACATTCTGAGTAAAAAAGCTTAAGGGCAAGTCTTTGCCATGGTTTGTCTTCAGTAAGCAGAGCAGGGGTGGGCTTGTGCCATCATCACTCAACAAAGACTCTCACCAACACATCTTGTACTCATTTCACCAATCTCAAGCACTGAGAGGAACATCTCGTCATGCGCTGTCAGATCTTCCTGCCCTACTGAATTAACCGTAAGTAGTTTGAAGCTGTTTTTCTGATCTGAGGTGCTATTTACTTATTGGGACCATTACAGATAATCACAGTGCCTGCAAATTCTGCAAATGATGAAACTGCTGCTATTCACACTGTATTATTTTCACTGTTCATTTTCAAATTGTGGCACATTCCTTGAAATTCCAAGCAACAATCTGACAAATATGGTGTTAAACCAGGTCAACCAACTTTTTTTTTTCTTTGTTTTTTCAGGACAATGGCCACTCAAGCTTCTTTGGTTTCTTCTTCTGCAATTCCAAGCGAAAGCATTCCCAACCAAACCTGCAACGTGTTCACATACAAGGAGGCGGCTCGGGTCCTTTTTCCCACCTTCTACATCATCGTACTTGTCATTAGTGTCTCAGGCAACAGCCTGGTCTTGTACATTACTTGCCAGAAAAAGCAGAAGTTCAACTCCACATCGCTGTACCTGATCAACCTGGCAATCTCTGACACCCTCTTCACTCTTGCTCTGCCTGGTAGGATTACCTACTACATCCTTGGTTTCGACTGGCCCTTTAAAGAAGCCCTCTGCAGGCTGACTGCCATGATCTTCTATTCCAACACATACGCTGGCATCGCTTTCATGACCTGCATCAGCATAGACCGCTACCTGGCCATGGTACACCCACGCAGGTGCCTGAGGCTCAGGAATGTGAAAGTGGTGCGAGGCATCTGTGTCCTGGTCTGGGTAATTGTCCTTCTGGAGACATCTCCTCTGCTCTTCAGGACCATGATGAAGAAGTGGGATGAGCATCGCACATGCATGGAGTACTCCAGTTTGAATGAATCTCCAAAGATGCCATATGTGCTTCTGTTTGCCTGTGCCACTGGGTTCTGCGTTCCACTGGGACTCATCCTTGGCTGCTACAGCCAGATCAACTCTAAGCTTTCCAGGATGGCCAAGGAGAATCCCATGACCAGCAAGTCAGGGAAGAGCCAACGGGCCAAGAATGTGATACTGCTGATTCTGCTGAGCTTTGTGGTGTGTTTTGGTCCCTACCATATCAACATTATGCAGTTTATGGTGCGCAGCCTTCTCTATGAGCCTTCCTGTGAGGAGAAGAAGGCCTTCAAGATGTCCCTGCAGGTCACAGTGGCCATGATGAATCTGAACTGCTGCCTGGATCCAGTTATCTACTTCTTTGCCATCAAGACATACAAGCAGAGGGTGGTGAGCTTCTTTAAGGGTTATATGCCATCGCTTTCTTCCAAGAGCATGCCAGACAACAGCAGCAGCAACACCTGAGGAGCACTTTTTTGATATACAGAAGCAAAATCAATATCACATTTATGAAATGCAAAATGTTAAAGTAAGACTGAAGAAGGATATTTTTCAGCTGAATTAAAATGAAAACTATGTACTGTTTGATATGACTTGCAGTACAAATCCATGTCGGGAGTCAGCTGACTACACCTCAGCCTATTTTACTTTTCTAAGTGTAGATCTACAGTGTAGATAACTTTGGTTTGTTTGAACATATGTATATTTCATTAACTCCTTTTCCAAAACTGTTTACTAAACTGGCATTGTAGAACTGACAACTATTCTACATTTTGTAAGGGCTTGCATATTTTACCAAGCCACACAGAAAACACAGGCATATTCACTTTGGCCAAATGCCCTATTGCTGGGGTAAATTCCTAACAGTATGTTACCTTTACCTTCCTGTGACTCTATTCACACCTGAAGGCTGAAGGACTCCTCAT